GGGGGGGGGGGGGGGGGGGGGGGGGGGGGGGGGGAGGGAATCTCAGCAATATGGCTAGTAGCAGCAAAAATGTTGCACAAGACCTACAGAAGGAGTATTCAGTTTGAAACAATAAATGCTATTTAAGACTTCCAGGTGGGAAGTAATGTCCTCTCCGCTGTAGGGACATAAGGATGACTAAGAAGGGGTCTTTCCTCCCAAGGAATTCCCTCTTCCGGGGCTGGAGGTGCATGAGTGGAAACAAGACAGACTATAGTGAGAAGGATAGCGGACATTGTCTGCCCCCTCTCGAATGCCTGGGGACCCATTCCCGTTCTCCTCCATCAGCTCTGACATACTTTTGCCTCCAATGGCTCACGGAGTGGCCGCCCTTGAGTACTGTGTACATATTCAGAGAGTGGGAAGTGCTCAGAGCTGAGCTGCTTGCCAGTGACTCTGCTCGGTGTAGGGATAAGAAGTCTCAGCCCCCTTGCCTTACAGCAGGACACAAATTAATGTCCAGGCTTTCCCTAGTGAATGAGCAGAGCACTCCCTCTGGGACCCTGTCTAAAGCCACTCTTGCTCAGTCCATTTCTCTTGTCTGTTTTCTTATCTCCTTCATGTGCCAATCTCTTCTGGGAACATTTCCTTAATAAAACACTTCGCTACAAATCCTCGTCTCGGGGTCTGCTTCCAGGAGCCTGACCTAAGTAAGACAGGTGCTTCATAAGAACAGAAACAATGAGGTGCCAGGGTGGCTCAATCGGTTAAATGTCTGTCTTCGGCTCAGGTCATGATCTCACAGTTCGTGGGTTCGAGCCCCGTGTCGGGCTCTGTGCTGGCAGCTAGCTCAGAGCCTGGAGGCTGCTTCAGATTCTGTGTCTCCCTCTCTCTCTCTGCCCCTCCTCTGCTCAGGCTGTCTCTCTCTCTCTCTCTCTCTCTCTCTCTCTCAGAAATAAATAAAACATTGAAAAAAAAAAAGAACAGAAACAAAACTGTAAGAGAGCAAAGAAGGAATGACTAACTCTGCGTGGAGATCAAGGACCTTTCCATAAAAGGAGGGTATTTGAAGGTGATTTGGATTTTGCCAGGCAGATAGAACTGAGAAGTGTCACAATAAATTTGAGGGGGAAAAAATATATATATGTGCAGCACTAAAGAAGGTAATGGTGGGGAGTGAAAGGAGATGGGACTACTAAGGTAGGGTGCAAGTAACTGAAGATGAGTCTTAAATGTTACTAAGGAGTTTGGACTTTTAAAAAATTGGCCATAGTGAGTGATTGTAGGTTTCTGAGCAGAGAAGCAGCATGATACATCTCTCTTGTAGAAAATAATTTAATGGAGGGGTGCTGGGTGGCTCCATCACTTAAGCATCAGATTCTTGATTTTGGCTCAGGTCATGATCTCACAGGCATGGGATGGAGCCCCGTGTCAGGCTCTCCACTGAGTGTGGAGCTTCCTTAGGATTCTCTTTCTCTTTCTCTGACCCTTCCCCCACCCACAAAATGGATAAATAAACCTTTAAAAATAAAAAAAAAAAGTTAAAGAAAGTAAGTGAATGGAAATATAAAGAATGGGTTGGCAGGGTAAGAGATTAACAGTGGAAGCCAGTTGGGAGGGACGATGGTCACCACAATATTCTGGGTGTGGACCATGAGGGACTGACTTAGGGCATGAGAATGAAAAGGGAATGATGGATCTAGAGGTTGAATGAATGGACTTATCAACTAACTGGATATAAGCAGAAAAACAGCCATCCATCCAAAGTGGCTAAATGTTGGTTTGGATCAAAGAATGAAGGAAGATGTCATCAACCAAGAGACAGAACCTAGGAGAAAAGACAAATGGAGGAGAGAAATCAGTGAGTTCATTTTTAGATAGGTTGACATTGGATGAGACATCTGAAAAAATAATCCCTAATAACTCAAAGAAATTTGAATGAAATCTGAAAATTATCTGAGAATAAAGAACCAAGAAAAAATGGGATATTAGGAAAAATTGGGATATTCAGAGACTCATGAAGTTCCAGTTCAAGGTTAGACCAAAGAAACAAAGCACTTTATAAAGTTAGACCTCTGGATAGGAATCAAAACAACAAAATCAACCATAGAAACTTGGACACCTTTTAAGAATAAGAACACATTACATTCACTGGTGACAACAGTATAATTATTCAGTTTCACCAGAATTTTATTTTGCTGATTAAAACTATAGTCGGGTGGAGATGGCCCAAAGATTAGATCTGATGTACTAAATCTGTATGACTGTTTGGAGCAATCTATGAAAGAAGAGCCCTATGATGCTGGTGCTGAAATACAAGTAGAAAAGTAGTGCTTTCCGTGTTTGCGAATTATTATCTGTCTACCGTAACACGTTGCTGGTAGAGGGACTGCTGAAGTAATAATTCCATCAACTGACAGTGGCCATTTCCTTAATTATTGCTGTTCATTTGTTTATGGCCTTGTGCTGATTTAAAAAGAAATAAATCAGTATGTCCATGAATTGTATTGGCATTGCAAGAAGCACACAGAAGGAAAAGCACAAGTCTAAATTCTTAAAAAGTGCTTCAGTTTGAGAACAATCTACTTTATATAAGATACATTGTTTCAAAAGCCAAATGAGTTATAGGGCAGCAAAGAGGCTTCCTGCCTCTGTAACAGTGTTACATTTAAAGACTTCTCTTTGAGAATTCTTGATACTTAGAGAAACTAACACTTCCTTTTACCTTAAGTAAGATGTTACAGATTTTAGAAACCAAGTTACCCATAGAAATGATACAGGAAGAGATCCAAAGAGCAAGAGAAAGAGGACATTAACTGTTTTTATTCCTTCATTCTCTCTTCCTCCCCCCTTCCCTCTTTTCCTTCCTCCTTTGGTCCCCCCTGCCCTTCCTCCCCCACTTCCAGCAACACATGAGGACCTACTGTGTGGAAGTGTACAAGGAGTTAGAGACACCAGATTTAGCAAGGGGAACATACATGGTCTCTACCTTCAGGGATTTTAAGTCTATCAAACTTGACTTCAAATTCCTCATGTAAATAAAAGATGGTATCACCTGTCCTTCACCCCTGTTCTCTCTCACCTTCATACTGTATACTACAGCATATTAGGTTCATCCATTTGGGGGGCAAATGTGCTACCCATAACCCAACTCGGCTACTTTCATTTGAAATTCAACTCTCTCATTTACTAGTCGTGTACATTTGGTCAAATGACTTAACCTTTTGACCCTCCAACTCTTCATGTATTAAGCATAAATAATAGCACAATAGCACATACCTCATGGGACAGTTGTATTATAAGAATCAATTCATTTAGAACTTAGAATGGGCCGTGGGCAATCAATTGATGTTACCCATTATTATTTTTAACATGCTCAGGAATAAATAGATGAAACAGGGCACATCTTTCAAAGAGCTTATAGTCTTGCAGTTGGAGACAGACAGGTAGACAGATAAAGGCAATAAAGTGTGGTGGGTGAACGATGAAGAAAGGATGTTTAGGCTGTAGATGGGGGTGGTCACAAAGAAAGAGAGTGGTGAATTCTCTTAGTCAACTCTTTTGAGGTGGATGTAATATCAATCCAAAGTAGTTTCTTATTTCCCTGACCCTTAGGTAAATGATCCTTCCCTATTAGATGCCTGTTTTGCTTGCTTTATTTGCCCATAGTTATTCAACTGTGAATAATTACGTGAGCACAAATGCAGGCTTTTCATGAAGGGAATTGCAGTCCCTCTTTATTTACACTCTGAACAAAGGAATTTACCAGAGTTGGTAAAACTGGGCTACACTCTCCTGATTTCTTATGTTCAGTGGCATATTGCTTAGAGAAATCACAGTTGTTTTTGCAAAGGGAAAATGGGTCCTGTTTTATCCTAGGAAGTGATCATATCCCTCTTGCCCGTGACTGGCTAAGTCATGTTCATCTGATTTAATTCTGGCCAATAGGACCCAAGGCAAGTTGGAGGTTCTGGAAAAGATATTCTCAATCCTATGAGACTAATGAAAGAGAACACTACTGTTCTTCCCTGGATGTTGTTTGTCTGCATGTGATGGCTGACACTGCTGCAGCCATCTTGTAACCATGAAGACAGATATTGCTGGTACCCTAAGGATGGAAAAGTGAAAAGATGGTGATAAAGTAGGTCCCTGAAGACATTCTTGAGCTGCTGGACTTACCAACCCGAGCCTTGATCCACCTCCAAACATCTTGTGTGAGAAAATAACCCCTTAATTATTTAAGCTGCTTTTAGGTGGATTTTCTGTTAATTTTCAGTTAACTCCAAGTATTTGGGGGTACTCCCCTTTAGGAAAATTATACCATTCTCCCTTTTAAGCCCAGGCATGGCTATATGACTTGCTTTGACAAAAGAAATATGAGATAATAGTTAGATGAGTTAAATGAGAAATGATGGATCATTTCCAGGTAGAAGCTTCAAGACCCAACATATAGTTTGTCACACCCCTTCTCTCTTCCTCCTATGATTGGGGAGGCATGTTAAGATGGAGCCCCTCCCAATCTGGTTCCTCAATTACTGCAACAAGTTAGACCTTCTTATCCCTTCCATGGGGGACTGTAGCATGAACAAGAAGTAAACTTCATATTAAGTTACTGAAGTTTGTCGTTACCAGGGGGGACTCTAGTTTATATTGACTGGGAAGCATCCTAGAAGCTGTAGGGAAACAACGAAGTGAAGGCAGGAGCTTGAGATGCAGAACCTCAACTCAGAGTTATTGCAAAACACAGGCTCCCCTCTGTCGGCTGCACACCCTTCCTGTTCAGGGAGACGAGCCTCAGAATGGTAAGTAATTTAATCCAGAGAACGCTTTAAAAATGTCTTCACTTCAAATGCATTATTCAGAGTAAATGAGTCACAACTTATTAAGTGTCTCTTCCGTAGCTCTGAGTTCACCTCATCACTTTGCCCCCCCACCAAGCTTTCCTGGAATGACCTCACCATGCACTCTCCTGACCACATCCACCTTGGTGCCTTCCCAGGGGGCTTGGTAATGGCTCAACAATCACATAGCTGAATTTCTGATGCACAAATATGAAATGAGGGTGACACCTCTGTGGGCAGTACAGGAGAATGATGAGAGTGACAGCTAACACTTACATAGCACGAGTTCTATACCAGGTACCATTCTAAATTCTATCTGGTAACTCCTTTCATCCCCACCTTACAAGGCAGTATTCATATCATCTCTTCTTTACAGATGGAGAGACAGAGGCCGAGAGAGAGAGAGAGAGAGAGAGAGAGATATTAAGTGTCTTGGCCAAAGTCACACAACTAAAACATGGTGACACTCAGATTCAAGTTCAGGCAATCTGGCTCCAGAGTTGTGTTCTGACTATGATGTTTAACCAAGTCCTTGGGGCAGCTGTTCTTGGAGAAAGAAGAGGTTAAGCACCCAGGTGGGCTTTGCCTGACTGAAAACCTAGCTGGGTGATGTCTTGCAATTTGCAAAACACATAACTGGCTTTGCTTAGGATTTTCCCAACTGCAACATGGCAATGCTTAGGGCTGTGTCCTCTGTGAAGGAAGTGGGGCCCAGTGAAGACCCAGGATTGAGCGGGGCCTTGCTAATGTTATAACAGCTGCTATGGTTTCTAGGACAGACCCCCTGAGGGGGCTGAAGTCTGGGGCACATGTAAAGTCATGCACAAATATGAAATGACCATTCAGGGATTTCTCTAGATGTCTGAAGGAGGCTATGGACCGTAAGGTGGAAGGGCCTAGGAAAGGCTGTCTGGAGGGTCGTTTTGGGGATCTACAGACAGAAAAGTGGCTGAAGTGCACTTGGCACATTGGAAGGAAGGCTAAGGTAAGCCTTTTGGGTTTTTGTTTCTTTTTATGTTTTATTTATTTCTGAGAGAGAGAGACAGCATGAGCAGGGGAGGGTCAGAGAGACAGGGAGATACAGAATCTGAAACAGGCTCCAGGTTCTGAGCTGGCAGTCAGCACAGAGCCTGATGCAGGGCTGGAACCCATATTAGACCATGACCTGAGCCGAAGCCGGAGGCTTAACCAACTGAGCCATCCAGGTGCCCTAAGGTAAGCCTTTTGGACTGACTGATTTAAGAGGGTTGGAATGTACTTTCCCAAGGCCTGAAAAGTAGGCACGTATATGCATATGAGTAGAGGTGAGGGCCAGGAGCTTGGACCTAAAATTGTTTCTGTAAAGCTTTGGAAATGCAGCCCAGGGGTGCCTGGGTGGCTTAGTCGGTTAAGCGTCCGACTTTCGCTTAGCTCATGATCTCACAGTTCGTGGGTTCGAGCTCCGCGTCGGGCTCTGTGCTGACTGCCAGCTCAGAGCCTGGAGCCTGTTTCAGAGTCTGTATCTCCCTCTCTCTCTGACCCTCCCCTGCTCACTCTGTCTCTCTCTCTCTCTCTCCTAGAAATAAATAAAAATATTTAAAAAAAAAAAAAAAAGGAAATGCAGCCCAAGAGGGAGAACTTTGGGAAAATGCAGTTAACTAACAGCAAGTCCTTTAGGTTGGTATCTCTACAATCTGGTTTGAATTTGAACACTTGTCCCCATCCCCATTATGGCCACTGCCCGTGCCCTACTTGGGGCCACCACTGTGACTCTCTCAGACTCCTGCCCTGGTCCAGCTGGTGTCCCTGCCTTCATTCTTGCCCCTGTCCCATCCGATTGCCTCCAGGAGACAGAGTGATCTCTAACAGAGTGCGGGCAGTGCCTATGGCTGCTCCTCACTCTTAGAATGCACTCCAAACCACACCTTCACTACGAAATAGCACCTGGATCTCATCTCTCACCACTCTCCACCCCCACCCCCGAATCCAGCCCCCGCTGGCCACACTT